GCTGACCATTTTGATTGATAAGCCAAGAACGGAAATAAATAAAAAAACATCGAAATACATGTTATATATTGTTTCTTTGCAGGCTCTGTGCGGCGTTGTCTTCCAAGTTCCTACCATGTCCGGCGACAAGTTGCGCATCAGCACCATGCAGGAGATCATCAAGCCCAACACGGTGAAGCGGATCCAGGGATACGGCCTGCCCTTCCCCAAGGACACCACCCGTAAGGGAGATCTCCTGGTGGCCTTCGACATCCAGTTCCCGGAGAAGCTGACCGCTGCCCAGAAGGAAGTGCTCAGGGACATGTTATGAGCGACTTGGCCACCAGTGACGACTCAGACTCTCCCACACAGTCCGATGGAATCGGACTTAGTCATCCCACAACACACTCAACACACACACACACACAGCACTAAAATCAAACCGAATCCATATATTTCTCTACGTTCTATTCATTGTTTAACATCGCATCAACGAGGTCTTTCCCCATTTTGCTTGTTTTTGTGTTCAGATCTGCGCATTTTTACAGGAACTTTTATTAACAATCGGTTTTGCTCATCGACGCCGCGACCACGTTTGCATAATATGTATGTTGACCATAGTTATTATATCATTAATTCTTAATTTATTTGTCTAAATTAAAGCTACATTTAATAAAAATTACACACACACTGAAACATGTGGAAGAAAAAACAAGCGAAGCTGAGAGAGTTTTACTATAAACTTCGATTTATGCTCAATGGGTTATGTGGAAATTTATTTTACTTTCGGTTTTTCAGGGAATATTAATAATTAATTAAACTAAATAAATAATAAGAGGAGAGGAAGACACATTGCCCTGTCAGTTTTCCGAAGTTTGGTTATTAAGAATCGATCTGATGTGCTCAAAATAAAAAAAACAACTGACGACAGATATATAAAACATTCATTCTTATGATATATTATTTAGATTTTTATCAAATTTCAACGATAATATTTTAAAATCCTATAAAATAAATATATATCGGTGCTGAAATATCTGATATGATATAAATATATATATATAATATTAGGTTATATGCGTTTACTTACTACAGTTTTGGATTCACAGTTTATAATTTTTCTCAACACTTATCAATCGTTCAAGTGGCAGCTGTAAAGTCATCTGAATAAAACAAAATATTAATATTTTGAAAAACCTTAATACATTCTTACAGTTTCAGATCGTTTCTGAGCCCATTAAACATGTGTCAGACCCACCCATTAATTATGTCCCCTAATGGGTTCTTTGATTGGGACTAAGACTGATATTTCTAAATTATTTCAATCAAATTCCCGAAGGACTATTGATAGCAAATCATTTGATATATTATATTTATTTATTGTATTTTTAAAGTCGTGCTTTCTAGAAAGCTATATAAATCCAATTAAAAGGCTATTAGGGAATTAGTTAAACATTTTCCAACGCCAAATGAGGCTTTATTCCACTATTTTCGGGTCATTTATTGAGCTTATTATCCTACAAAGAGCAAAAGCAGACATTCCCGGTTGCCACTTTTTCGAGACAGTGAATACAACGTCCAGTCAGAGGCTACAAAACGGCTCCTATCTATACCAGGACCTCGAAGTTCCTGTCAACTTGACTGGCCGATATAATTACATAACTACGGAGATGGAATTTACTGAACCTACGGAGAGCCACTTACGAGGATGTGTCTGTCACCTAAAGCCTTGCTTATGGATCTGCTGTCGTCTTAAGGATTGGGATGCATACAATGACAAATGCACCAATGGCCTGATGAAGGAACAGAGAGAGATTAATCCCTTTCTTTAAGTGTTACTGAGCAATGGATCCGTGGTGAAAAGGAACTTGCTAAAGGAAGGATTTTATCGTGTTGAGAGATCGAATGCGGTTTCAAGATATTTGGAAAAAAGATGAGTTCACATTGTTCGAGGTTCGTCCTTATTTCTATTCTATGTTGTTCCTTGACTAACTTGATATCTTTAGAATGGGAGTGTATTGCTTAATAGTTCCAAATTGATTAACTTTAGGGGATATGACTGTCTCCATCCGAATCAGTTTACTTCAGGCAACGCAGAGTCCTTTGTGACTGCCGTCCATTATTACTATTATTATGATAGTCCATACTTTCAGGTACCAGGAAGTAAAGAGCGTAAGACAAGTTACTATATACCTGAATTACTTCTTGTTCCCATATATTTTCTTAACAATCTGCAGTCACGTTGCTGTCCAACGTTTTCTTGGCTCTTTCAATAGCAGTGTATCTCTACGTTAGAAAGCTCCGAAATCTGCCCGGAAAGTGCTTCATCTGTTACATGATAACAACTTTTATGTATTTTATCCATCTACTTCTGGTAACCGTTCAACTACCTATGCAGTTGTGCGCCCTACAAGGTATGAAGTTGAATTATTTAAAATAATACAAATAACTATTGAAAAATATACTTTTTTTTGTTGTGTACTCAAATTACAGGTTACCTTATAAATTGTTTCTATTTGGCCAAATTCAGTTGGCTATTGGCAATGAGCCATCACCTGTGGAGAGACTTTACTTCGGTCAATCGAGCTGACTCTGAATATAGTTTCGGGGCTTACAGCAAATTTGCCTGGGGATTGCCAGCTATCCTGATAGGAGTACTTTTTCTGATTGATCATATTTGGGATGGCGATCCCAACATGGGGGAATGGGTGCCCGGTAGTGGTTGGCATGACTGTAATCTCAAGGGTAGGTTCTTGTTAGAGCAGCTATTTCTTTCAGATGACTGGTCTTTTCTGGTCTACATTAATATACCGATGGTAATACTTGTAGTGTTAAACACAATCCTTGTTATATTGACGACCATCAGCATCGTAAGAGTAACACACTCCCTAAGGCATTTCTCCAACCAGAACGAGAGGGCAAGGAACCTGACCTCGAATGGGTTTAGAATGTTTGCAAGTCTCTTCATCACTATGGACATATAGTGGAGCCTTCGCCTAATTTCAATCTTTGCTAATTGGAACCTTGTTGTAGAGATGTGCCAATGCTGTGATGCGTGCACCAGCATTATTATTTTTGTGTTGTTTGTTCTAAAGGGTAACACTCTTAAGCTTCTAATGGAAAGGATTTTATTTTTACTCAGTGTTCGAAATAGAAGTGACTAAAAATGGCTGGATTAAGGATTGTATATTTAAGTAGTAATACCAAAGTTTTCTACTTAACTTTAACATCATGGGATATTTTTAAATTTCCTGTTTTTGGGTATGAAGACACCCAAGGTTGGTAAAACGGAACATGCTTTATCTGTGAAGTCATGCTCCTCCAATTGTAAAGTTACCAAAAAAAAAAACAAGCAAGTAAAAGTGGAAAAGTGAAATTTTCGTTTGGTAATCGCAAAGCGTTTGCCTAATTAGCTGCCGCTTCCAGCCAGTCGCCACCCCCGGCACCGAAAACACTCCCATGTCAAACGGAATGCTGCTCGTTAAGTCATTAAAATTGCATGAAGTCAAAACTTTATGGTCTGCAAAGTTTGCGTCAAAGCAGAACTAACCAAAAAAAGGAAAAAAAAGGAGAAAAGCTGGAGCAAGCCGAAAAAAAATTATAAAATCGGCTAAAAGACTGGGAAGAAAGTCCGTTGAAGATGCGAGGAACGAGACCAACATCAAAGCTGGCAAATGGTAATTCGTTTAAAAAGAAGCCAGCGACAGACGGGACATAGACATAGACGCATTTCATTTGCAGACAATAAACAGGCAGTTGCTCCAGAACCAGAACCAAAACCAGCAGCAGGAGCAGGACCTCAACGACGACAACAACAACAGCATCTGGAGGGCAAAGTAAATAAATTAAATTTTGAACAACTCTTTGCATACAAAATAGCGGGCAGGAATGCATGGCCAAAAAGACTCAGAAGCTTGCTCAGATTTCAAACACATGCCAGGAGACGAACAGGAGCAGGAGCAGTAGCTGTGACCAGGATGAGCTCTGTGCCATGGATATGGACGCAGTCGAGTCGAGTGTTCGATCTGCACGTGCCGGGAACACTCCACAGACCTCTGGCGCTGACTCTGTAACAATTCGTTGCGATTTTCCACTTATTTGCAGGAAAACCAAGAATAAAAAAATTAAGCTAGGGCACACTTGGAAAAATTGTCTAAGCTGGGTTTTCACACGACATGTTAGTCAATAAAAAATAATCTGCTTAAGGTAAAAATAAATTATTTATATATTTTTTTCGATTCCGAGGAAAAACTTCAATTATAACATGACAATAATCATTATACAAATTTAAAGGAATTTCCTTACGTTTTACGAAATATTTTTAAAATAAACGTATGTAACGAAATTTTCGGTGTGTAAACTCTTAAGGAAACCCCAAATATCGTAGGCCGGAGCTGAGGCAGCGGATGAGCCAGCAAAAGGAGCTTCCAGCGCCATTACCATTGCGGCCTGTTTGGGGCAAAGTCGAAATCACAGAGAATCATCGACAACTGGCAAATGTGTGAATTGAATTTTCAAACAATTTTCCCCCGTGCAGTGTGCAGTCCTCGTCATCGGAATCAGGTTGCTGCTTCCCGGTTTCAGTTTCTGGTCCTGGCGCTTTTCAATTCCCTCTCCTGCCACTCCTTGTCCGAGGGCACAGTGTGCATGATTTGAGATTTGATTTGGACGGCGGCTACACATTACAGTCGCCACAGCCTCAGCTTCCTTTCGTTCGGTCCCGTTGTCCTGGGCGCTTGAAGCGGCTTTTAAACATTTCGCTCACGTCTCGGATGTTTATGCCATTAGCGTTTAAGTTGCCCATACAAAATGCGACTCGTAAATAAGCAAACGTTTCTTTGTTTTGGTTTTCTCCTTCCTTCAAACAATGTTTTTAAGTCGGATTGTTGCAATTGCCATTGGTAATTGATGCTGTGGCTGGTTATTGAATGTTATAGAGGAAAAAAAGAAAAAACGCGATAAAATTAAAGGAAATTGTTGGGTGAAATGAGACAATTAAGTAAATTCTTTGAAAGGCTCAATTTGCATTCTTATAAACATTTCTTTAATAATTTTTCAATTTACAATTTGAATACACTCGTACAAAATTTAGCTGGAAACTTAAAAGCTTGAAAAAGCCTAAAAATATGCAACACACATGGATAAATTTATCTAAAGACCAGTTAGCAGGAGGAGCAGGAGCAGCGGCAGATGAAACCGTCTGGGGACTGCTCGAGATCCTGCTGATCCATGGCCTCCTGCTGAGCCTTCCACCGCGCTGCCCGATAGAGTCTGCGGATGAGATCACCATACGGTTGTCGCTGCATGATTTGCGTTGCGGCACTGTGAATTTCGTAGGTGCAGCTTGTTGCACGGAAGCAAATCCTTTGGGGCACAGATTCCCCGTATGAAATGGGTGACAGGACGGGAAGCTTGGTCCTTTTTGTCTTCTTGTTGATCTTTTTGACCGGCAGTAAAATCTTTTTCTTCAAGGAGGGCTCCGTGATGGCCGCCTCGGATTCTTCCTTGAATGATTCCTGTACCGTGCTCAATTTTGCCTTCTTTCCTCTCTTGACCCGCTTGTTGCCCACCAGCGGCAAGGTCTTAATTGTCTTTAAGCTCTTCCTCGGTAGGTTGCTCACTTTGACCGAGGTAGGCTCTGTGATGGCCGCCTGGATCTCCGCCTCAAAGGATTCCTTTGCCTTGGCCGCCTTCCTTTTCAGGACGGAAACCATATTGTACCGATGTTGTATATTGTTGATGTTCCGTAGGGTTCGCTCGAAAGAAAGCTTCACTTCTTTTACGGCCAGCAGCGCCTCGCAAATATCGTTATTAATCATTTTTTCACTGGTAAATTTTATACAAAACAACTATTTGACAGATCGTTTGGATGAACGAAAAATGAATGGAAACTTCACAGAAAACCGCCCTCGAAGGGATATCCTAAGCATTCTAGATTTATATTACGATTTGTCATTCGGGAAATTCCGATACGAAGCGACACGTACCCAACACACCTTATCGCTCCATGGGCTGATAAATTGTGTTTATGGAAAAACCAACAATTCCTCCCGATTACCACTATATATAGGGTGGAAAGCAAGGCGAAAATTCAGTTTGTAGTAGAACTTGCTATTGGAAAAATGCCTCCACCACCGCACCATCCCCACAACCCGCCGCCGAAGGGACCTGGACATCCTGGTGATCACCATCCGCATCCGGAACCGCATCACCCCCATGGACCGCCGAAGCCTCATCATGGACCCCACTGAACGAACTTTAATATTGGATAGAAATTAAGTTCAATTATGTCAGATTTAAATTATATTTCTTCGTTTAACATACAGTTATTTAAAAACGATGTACTGAAAATGTCGAGGGTTGAATTTCGGTATACAATATTAATAAAAAATGTATCTTCATTTAAAATTGTTAATCTTAATAACTGATTTACATAGCAATCTAATGAAAGTTGCTAATTCAAAGCTATATTTAACATCGTCGATTCATCAACCTCAAGACTACATACTTCCGGTTTTTGGGTGCTTTATAAACATGTGTTTTTTTTTTTTCTTGTATAAACCCTGTTATTGACCATTGTTTCCTATCTTAGTAGCAGTTTTTTTGGGAAGTCAGACATTCTTAAAAGCTTATACATAACTGTAAAGGTGCCTCACACCTTATCTACTAAACTGATAGGGTTTCGCTGTGTTCGGTACATTTATTTTTTTCATATAAATGCTTTGAAAAGAGTGGGAAAGTTTAGTATACATCGGTAGCTAAACAAATAACGATGTCCCCGCCGCCTTCCCGTCACCACTACCACAACCCTCCACCGGGTCATCCGCAATATCAAACACCGGTGCATCCCATCTGGTACGAGCCTCACGGACCAGGAGAAACTCCAGGCTATAACCCACCGCCGCCCCATGGGCCAGGCTATAACCCTCCACCGCCCCATGGTCCAGGCTATAACCCTCCACCGCCCCATATTCCAGGATACAATCCTCCGCCGCCGCATGGTCCATATCCGTATCCGCCAGGACCACCAATGCAGCCTCGATAACTAATAAACAGAACTCGTAAATGTTAATTATAGAACTGTATAAATTATTTTTATTATAATAATTTATTGAAAAAATAATGTTTTTTATTGGGCTTTCAAGTAGTGTTTATAATTTTAAAAATTAGAATTATTATATAAAGAATGGGTGACGAACGGGTTAAAATTAAATTAAAAATACTTTATAGCTATAGCTATATTTCCTACATATAGGAAGCTTTGGTTTTCTTAATAAGACAAACTTTTAAAAAAATATGTATATTTAACTTGTAGTAACTAAATCAATTTATTATATTTCGAGTTTAGTTAATATATACATTTAATAAACACGATTCCCCCACCAATTTATATTTATGAATAAGATTAAATAGCCATCACAATCATATTCTAAGGGAGGGACTCTATAAACAACTGCGTATTAGCAGATATCGATAAGATAACTCTTTGAGATTACATGACCTTGCCTCGAACAATTCACAGATAATGTTTACAACAATTATGTGTGAATTTCTTTGTTAAAACAAGGCTTCATAAATATATAAACAAGTCAATATAAAATTGTAATGTAATGAGTAATTTAACCAATATAACAATTTTGACAGATATTTTTATTCATGAATCATGAACTTTTGAAGACTTAGGCCCCCTATGTCATTAAATATTTTAAGCATACGTATTTAAAGAAGTATATTTTTTCTCTTAACAACTACAAAGATTGTTATTGGCCATAATTGAAAGGTTTATAATCTTTATAGTGGGTTTTTCGCAACCCCCTTATCTGTTAAACTGATTGGGTTCCAACTTACTTTAAATATATATATTTTCTTCTAATAAATACTGTGTTTAGAGGAAAAGCTTAGTATACAAAGGTAGCTAAGCCAACAAACATGTCTCCGCCGGCGCCGCCGCAACATCACCACAACCCATCGGGTCATCCGCCACATCAGCAGCCGATGCCTGCCATTTATTACGAGCCAGGTTACAATCCTCCGCCGCCACATGGTCCTGGCTACAATCCACCGCCGCCACATGGTCCAAACCAATCAGAGCCTGGTTATGTGGCGCCTGGACCGCCGATGCATCCCCGCTAAGAACCCACTGGATTTAACTGTAAACAAGTTTAGTTAGAAATGTCTGAAAATATTATTTATATTTTCATAAATACATACGATAAAATAAAACCATAAATATTTCTTTTATGAAAGTAAACACTGATTTTAATTTGAATTTGTTGCTATTCCAGGACTTATTATTAGTATTAAGATTTTTTTATTGATTTTTAAGGAGCAATTTAACAGAGATTTTTTTAATAAATAAGATAGATACAAACGCTTTCATACATTTTAGGGTAAGTAAATTTTTTGATTTTTCCTTCGATCCTTTTTTGCTTTTGTTTGTTATTGTTAATAACTTAACGGGATTGACTTGGCCTAACTTGGTCGTATGTCAAAATATAATTGAAACGGCCAGTGAAATAAAATATTATAAATATAATATTATTTATTTTGAATCGTTTTAGAGTAAAATAATATTTTTTGAAAATCATAGATGTTGTGTTGAAATCAGACGAACTAGTTTATATGGTTTTTATGGTTTCAGGTAAACACTTTTCATTTTGAAGTCCAAAAACTGTGCTATATTAATTAATTTTAATGAATTATGGTAATACCACTTTTTCCTATTTGAAATAAATATAAATATAATTATAAATATATAATGAACAACTGCATTTGGGTTTTTGTTGTTTTTTAATTTTTAAACTTTTATATTTTTCACTTTTTGTCTTAATGTTTCGCACTTTTTGTACAACTATTTGAATATAATAAATATAATGTCTGTAGTATCATAAATAACAATTCTTTGATCTGATACAGATATATTTAATCCTTAGCGAGGATGCATTGGAGGTCCGGGCGGGTGGTGATGGTGGTCATGGTGCGGAGGGCCGTGGTGCGGAGGACCGTGGTGCGGCGGGCCGTGGTGCGGAGGACCGTGATGCGGAGGACCGTGGTGCGGAGGCCCGTGGTGCGGAGGCCCGTGGTGCGGCGGGCCATGGTGAGGTGGCCCATGGTGGTGGTGCGGAGGTGGTGGCGGCATCGTGGTTTGCTGAACTACAGTTGAGTACTGAACACTCCTTCGCTTTTGGCTTTCCATTTATACATATTCGCTATACTATTTGGAGTGACCTAACCAGATAAGGTCGGCACTCATAACAATTTCGGAATTCCCAATATACCGCTATAAAGATAACCGACCTACCCAGACCAGAAGGATTTGTCACACGTCAGGGGAATAACTCTCCCAATGATTGAGTTATGAGAACTATTTTTGGCTTGTTTCTAAAAGAATTCTGCCCCTCATATTGCAGACTCATAAATATTTATTTCGTCGCATCCGAATATATGTATTTTCTTGATCGCATTCGACCAAGTTTGTACTATCAATCAATCATTCGTATTGCGGTGATAAAAAGCTTATCGCATTAGTGAAATGTCATGTATTCTTAACCTAATATAATATTTTTTGATTAATTCTAGATATTTTTTGTTATAGGGAAAACTGTACATAAACAAAAAATGTATTGTTTGAAACTTTCACGTATTAGTAACAATCCATATTATTATTAGCTGAAAAAATTAAATATGAGTTGTTTTGCTTGAGTGCGATAATAATTTGCAATCTGAAAGGCTTATCTTATCGACTTCCATTACGCATTTGTTTATAAAAGATTCCAAACATTACTCAGACTACGACTAAGGTAGTGGGGAAAGGTAAATATTTCCACTTTTGACTTGTTTAAAAGCTAAACAAGTTCACCAACCACTATATCGATATTTTATTTAAAAATCGATATTTAAATCGTTCGATATATGTTCAATAATTCGATATTCTTTTTGCTATTTGGAGAATATATTACTTTAACATTTAAAATAAAATTAAAGTTAAGGTTCTTTAAACATAATTAATAAAAAAAAAACGACAGAACAGTTAAATATAATTTTACAGATAATTTTGATAGTAGATATGATGTAATTTTTTTAAATTATTTTAAATTTAAATATTGTTACACTATTCGATATTCTTAAAATGTTTCCTTAAGCAATCTTTTTGCTTTATATAAAACACCTTTAATACCGACATTTTCCTCCCGACTTAAAAAATCAAAAAAATTACGCATACGCAACGTTGACTTGCATGGCAAAAAGTATGTGCAGTGACCTTATGGCAGAATATTATATGGAATACTTTTCTCATAGACTTATTCGACCCCTTTGTGGCCGCAATCACTCAAGCGTTTAATAATTGACTGAATCTGCGGTTCAATCCCGATTGAACCGGGTTGGGTAATAAAAATAGAGTGGGGGAAAAAATCAAGCAAACAGCAAATAAAATTTATAACAAATCTAACACACATACATCATTTTGATATGGCCACGGACACGTTCCGTCCGTATATTTGCTTAAGGATGGATGCCTCATCGGTCTGCATCGTCCTGGATATGGACAAGGTCCGGATCTGAAGCTGATGCTGTAGCTGAAGCTGGAGGCAACTTCAACCGGGACAGACACATTAATTTTGCTGCTCGCTTCCCTAACCGCATGCAATTTTTCTTAGCTCGCTCTCCCCCGGCTATCGCCTTTCAATGGCAGGAAGCGGACCCTGGGGGAGATCGGACCAAAGGAACGGGGTCGGGGCTTCGGTACGGGTGCTCCACACATCCCTCAGTCAGTCAGTTAGTCAGTCAGCCAGATAAGTGCGGTTTATGTGCAGCACGTAGCCCAACTCAATACACTCGATAAATTGCGGCGGCGTTTGGCTGCTTAGAAACCGGGAACTTGACCGCATGCAAGGGGGTATAAAGAAGAAGGAAAGGCTGGAAAGAGATTTACACATGAAGTCAAAAAAGTGTTTGTTAATGGTATACAAATAATTCAATATAATATTTAAAAAATTAGGAAATCTGGATAAAAAGAAGTAACCATTTATAATATACTTTTAAAGTACTTCTTCATTTGTTCAAGAAATTAATAAAGTTCTGTTTAAAATAAAGTTTTTGACAATTACAAATTGTGCAATCAAACCCATTATATATACCTCATTATTTGTAACAATTTTCATATAATTTCTTATATTATTACTATTATTTTTCCCTCAAGTGTGGCTGCCCAAGGGAAAGAGTCGATATGGCTGACCTCAAAAACCGAATTGATGCAGTGCAGTTTTTCTTGGAGCCAAAACTGCAAGTGCACCTTAACCCTCGATGAGCTAACCTGCCATTGACCTAAAACCCCACACTCGATTCTAGCGGAGAAGGACCAAAGTTAACTTAATTTCCGTTCAATGAGAAGCACTTGATTAAATACTGTCCAGAGGCATTTGAAAGCAGAATTCCGATTGAAAATGCCAGCGAGCCTCTTCACAAACAAACAGAATTCCTCTGCAAATTTACTCATATTAAGAGCTCATTAAAGATCAAATGCCTCGCCGAAAACCCTTGGCTTATCCCCGCCCACGGGCGTCACGGCAAAATCTCATCATGGCAACAGAATTCCGCGTTGGGGGAAAAAAAGCAAAACCCGGAACGGAAAATATGTTATTAATTCAAATTAATATAATCCCATTTTTTTCCGCTTTTCCCTCTGCAGTTTCCTCCGCCGGCTGCCTGGGCGGGAAATGGAAACTACTTTCTCAGCGTCGCGCATTACGGATGGATGTTTTCCCTTTCCGTCCTCGCTCTCTCTCTCTGGGAGCAGGAGCAGGTTTTCTGGGTGGGTTCCTTCTATGATGTATAGACATTGTCGTATCTGGGTTGGCATGAGAAATTGCTGGGGTTGAGGTTATGTTTGAGTTGGTTGGGCATGGGCCTCACAGGGTGTGGTTTTTGCATTTGCCAGCGCTTCTCGTGTATGCAGGAATTTGGGTTAATAATGAGGCCATAGACAGCAGCAGACGGGTTTAAAGTTGAAAGACTTTTGTCTTGGAATTTTTGCATTAGCATAGCAGGAGGAGATTTTAATATTTAATTTTTGCATTTTAATTTTTTAAAACCAATACTAATTATATATTTTTTGCACAGATCATAAGATCTATCATTGAAAGACAACCCTCTTGCATCCCGCTTAATCAACTAAATGCACATCTTGCACTTTCAATTTGCAGCTGGAAAACTAGTACGGAAAATCAAACTCATCGAATGCGATTGCCTGGCAATCTATTCTCTTATTTAGCCCACATTCAAAGCTCATCAGTTGGCAAATCACAGACAGACGACTTCATTTCAAATGCTCGATGAGGGAGCAAAAAAAAGATACAGATACGTCAATGCACTGAAAAAAGTAGTCCACCTTTTATTACAACCTCAAATATTTAAACAATTTTAAATAAATAAAAAAAATGTTTTTAGCATCAAGTATACTTATGTTTGCTTAGCTAAACTTGAGGTCTATAGGCAACCTTTTGTCTATCCACTGGAGGTTTAAGACTCGTCGAAGAGTTTTATATTAAGTACTAAAGTACTGTCCTAAGACTAATAATAATAATAAGCAAAAATATCACATGAACCAAAATAAAACTTTTTAAAAGATTCAGATACTTTTTAAATCCTTTCCCAACATATTTTTATTGACAAATTTAAAATGTTCTTTCCAGTGTTGCGGGAACGACTCCCATATGCAACAGTTGCCGATGTGTGAGCGTCGCCTATCCTATCTCATCCCATCGCAGAGGCCATTGTTAGCTTGTTGGTTCGATAACTCCCTGCCAACAGCCAAACAAATCCCAATCCCAGCTGCATCTAGTCCTCGCCCCTCGAATCGAGCTTCAGTTCCATGGCGAATACCCGGCGGTGAGCAAGGAGCAAGGAGCAGGGAATATCTGGCTGAGTGCTCGGCATAAAACGGAAAACTTGTGACGTGGCTGGCAATGGATAAACTGCGAGGCAACAATGCAGGCGGCGAGAATCCCTTCAAGCGGCCAATGAATGCCCTGCAGAAGCAGTGGTATCGCGTCCTGCTCGCCCGCAGAGTGGGATTCGGGCAACGCCCTCCGCCCGATGAAAGGGAGCTAACCTAGTAAGTCAGCCCGCCAGCCCTAGGTCCAAATCAAATTGTGTGAAAATTGCAATTTCCTGTTGATTTAATACATTTTACAATTTCCCCATCGCCGTGAAAAGCGCCGACATTTGTCGTAAGCGTTATACTGCCGCGTTCCGGCGATACAACGAACGTTTTCGCCGGGAAATGGCCAAACACGAGGAGATGCAGCGATGCGCCATCGATGCCATGAGGGTTCACAGGTGAGTTAAAGAAATAGAGGAATTATTGAAGTTAATCCTTTGAAAATTAGTAAGGGTTAATCATATTTAAGAATTTAATACATTATAATTTATAATTCGACTCCTTTGTTAATACTTACAAAGGACCTTTGCCATAACAACTTTCTGGCTGCCATTGCACTCGAAGCGGGAAATCAACTCTACGCTGGAGACCCTCGAACAGGTGAGAGAGAGAACTGAATAAAATCTGAGGTGCAATTCCGCTAACAGGTATTTTTGGGTTCAGGTTCTCACCGCGAAGGAAAGACGACGCCTGCAGGAGATACTCAAACATCGCTGAAACAACAGCCACTGCTCGAAGGCCACTCCACCGAATGGGAATCATCCTCATCCCTGTCGACATCATCTGCCAGGGCTAAGTGAATTCCATTTAGCTTGGATTTCACTTTGCCTGGGAGCCTGATTTTTCCTCGCTCACTTCTTTATTTTTCACTTTTCCTACGTTTTGTTCTTGAAATTTTCGCTGTCAGTGGCCGAAGCATTGTCGTAAATATTTAATATCAGTAAAAGTGCAAAGTTCACTTTGGCTAAAACAGAAACTGTGTTGGGACTAGATCAATTTTATGGAATGGGAAACTCGTTGGCATATCAAAAGGTTATAGGGATTATTTTTCCCCAAACGATTATTGTGTGCTTGATGTAGTACTAAATGAAGTAAAAGAACAAGGAAAGTAGTATTTTTATTTTTAGCAATGTTGTTTCTTCAACTTACAAATGTCATTATTATTTGTTTTGAATGGAGAGAAATATTAATCTAAAATTACCTCTAAATACAAATGTTTTTCATATAACAACTATTGTTTTCGCCAACACTCCTTGATCTATATTGTCCAAACATTTTCTTTTCTGATTTATAATGTTTCTTTTGGTAACAGATTTGGCCCATTAAAAACTGCTGCCTAGGGCAAAGTTTTTCAATGTAAATATGTCACATGCCAAAAAGGGTTTCAACCATAAAACACACTTGTATCGGGTATTGAGCTAACAAAGGGGAAGAAACTTAAGGAAAATCCCTGAAAAACTGAAGAGACAAAAGCCAAAGTCAGCTTCAAGCTTAACCCACTCAAACGTTCGAATGACATTTGCTGCCAAGGACTGAGGCTCGATAGTAGGCCAAACAGCAAAAAGAGCTTGGGCCAATATCCTTGCCAACGGCAAACAACAAACAATGGAAACAGAAGCCTGGCCAGCAGCGGAAAAAAAGTCAAAAAGAAGGCTCAACTCGTAGTAGGCCCGAGATGTCGCAGCTGTTCCCGCTTGGCATATTGCCGACTTGACAACAAAAACAGCAAAAAACGAGAACAAAACTATTGAACAAAGTGGCGCCTGTCGCACTTTATGACGAGCTTGGCACTGCCCTTTTTGTTTTTCTCTCCCTTTTCTATAACCCCCTCCCCCCCAACATAATAGCAATCACAGAAATGTGTTCTAATTTAAAGCCATATATAGAAAAGCAAGCAGAGAAGGAAAAACAACAGACAGAGTAGACAAAAGGGAACAGATGCCAAGAAAAAGGAAGAAAATCAAGGGAGTATAAGGGAAAACGGCAAGAAAAAATACACTGAAAAAATGTACATTTACAGTTTTAAATGAATCGTTATTTTTGAATAAATAAATTGTTAAAAAAAGAATACATTTTCTACTAAAGAATTCATTAATTTTGAAATCAAATATTTTATTTTATTTTCTAAATTTGATGAGTTTCTTTTCGAATAATTTGAGACTTTGTGAACCAATATTATTGTGACTTTAAAGCGTTTTAATATTCAATATTCTTGTTTCTTAATATTAAAATTGATACTTTTCAGTGTAAGAATTGGAACATTTTTCCCCAATGCAGTTGGCCAAAATGATTTTTATATTTTATGTCTGTTTGAGTTGTTTGTGCCGTCCGATGCCTTGGAAGAGAGCTCGTTGGCGATATAGGGTCGTGCCCAGTATCAACATTAGTTCACGGTAATGTCGTGAACTTTTCCTGGCCTCAGCTGCTCGGCTGGCATTGGCTTTGTCAGCGTTTATTGATGGCATCAAAGTGTTTTTCAATTTATTTTATTTTTCCTCTGCAATTTATTGGCACGCTCTGCGTGGGGTTCGCTTGTTGGTCGTTGGCTGTTGGCTCCTGGCTGTAGGGTTTGGCCTTTTCTCCCTCTGTTTATCTTGGCCAGGGCCAGATGCGAACTGAGCGATATGATTGATGTTGCAACAATTTTGCAGCATAATTTTAGGCTAGCTGATACGTAATGCAAGTACGGGGCAGACACGTAGGAGCCGTTAAGTTTTAATGGCTAACGAATCTCAATTGGTTTTTGAAGAGAAAATTAGCCATAAAAGAGATTTGTAGGAAATAGGGTAAAAAATGTTAAGGAGAGAATTCCAAATATTGCATGAAAGTATTCAATTTATTTCATATAATTTAATAATTATAAATATTTGCCTCTAGCATTTTCTGTTTAACAGGTTTAAGAAATCAATTCATCTTAGATTTAATTTGTTTTAAAAATGTAAAATATAATAAATATATTGTAGATTTTGTAGATTTTAGTATTGTTACAAATAGGTAATTAATGGTTTATGTTATACAAATTAGTTTTTTTTTGTGGAAAACGTCTTTGTAGATCTGCATTTCAATATAAAATGATTAGTTGAAATTCAACCACTTACCCTAGTGTTTAGCCCTCCCTAAAAACATTCATATTTAACCCAATTGCAGGACAATTATAGTAGCAGCCTATCATTTCAATCTGTTTATTCCAAATCAGGGCTCATAATGCCAACAAACAAAAATTCAACCAAATTGGCAAATGTCAGAAGCCAAATGCTGGCCAAGAGAAACGCAGGGGTCAAAGGGAAAGGCTCTATAAGTACACAATGAGTTGATAATCCCAGAGGCAAACTACGGGGCGGGGGCAGTGATATGTCAGTGGCATACATATGCAAACACACATGCAGACATCACATCTATCTATGCAAAGCCATAAAGCAACAATAATAAACGCACATCATCATCATCAACGGCGGCATCGGCAGCGGCAGTGGCAGCGGCTTTTCCCCAACATTTTCGACCCCCACTTTCCACTGCTGTCAGCAAAAAAGTATGAAATATCATCTAAAATAGGAAATGCGTAAATGCGAAATCCTACAGAACGGAAACTCAACTGAAAGCGATGCGCAAACGAGCGTTGATGATTTCCCCTACCTCCCGCTGGCCCAACCTCATTCTCTACGCTCTGTATGAAAGTCAATTTTTCATTTAGATAACTTTGACATACGCAAACGTCATGGAAAGGAAGGAGTCCCGACCAGCAAACAGTGGTAAGAAATAGTATGGGATATTTTGTTCAGAATATTTTAGTGGAAGAAGAGTAGAAGATAAGATTATATTAAGAATGAGCGTTACGCATCTTATCATGTATATTATCTTAGGTACTGAAGTCAAGTATTCACAAACCTTTATTGTATTCAAATTTGAGCTATAAAGATAAAGAATTTGGCTTGATATTATGGTAAGTAATAAATAAGAAGTAAGAAAGTAGTAAATAATAACATAACATAATAATGCCAGATATACCGTCCCTTGTATAACCCACTGGTGGATAACCACATATTTTAGCAACCTGTATCAAAGGTTTGTATAAAGTAAGACGAGTAACGTGCATACATGCCAAATATACCGTGCTACGCATCTTATCCTTCTTATTATATTTAAAAGATCTGTGGAGTGGTATTTCTAGAACTGAATTCATGCGTGAGAAAACATATTTTTCGTAAAAATTGAAATTATAACACAAAGGAATGGACTTAATTTAATATTATGGTAAGTAATGAAGTATAAATATATTTGAAAAAATCTATTTTATCAAACCCACATACATTAATTTGCATTAAATGATCATTTCATTAAATGACTTGGCTTCGACTTATTTAAAATAAAACTTTATTGAACCATTTAGAACCACTGTGACTAAGGGGGCGTGTCTTCGCGACTCCAGTTTGCATGTGTTCGTCTGCATACAGCGATTTAGATTTTGGGTTCAACCTCGGCTGCCGCCTCCGCTCGTTTCTGCTGGCGCCAGTCAGTTTATCCTGAGGGGTTTCATCGCGGAAATGCGGGCAGCGTTTTGATAAATGAATTTTGCCCCAGCTTTGCCATCATGCCAACCCCAACCCCCCTGTGTGTGAGTTGTGTGTTGTGCTGCGTTATGTGTGTGCGTGGCTTAAATGAAATGTTAACAATTAAACGGAGCCGGCGAAACGACAATGGGAGTAACACGAAAAGACTATCAGGGCGAGCAAGTTGCAGGCTTTGTCGGGTTAATACGCTGCGTATACTTAATAATAAAATAAATAATTCCTCTTTCGAGGGGGTTGTTATGATATTTGTGTATTGTTGATTTTAGCCGCTTAGTGTCCTTTTTTGCCTTGTCTGCTGTTTTGCTTGGGTGGTTGTTTAGTGTAAACTTAAGAAAACAACGAAACATAAGTGGCAAAAGGGATAAGGACGGCAGGAGTGAGAGCTGGGTTTCATTACGGAGGGTTGTTCCGTCTTCATCTCCACCTGCACAACAGAAGTTATTTTGTATTTACTGAGCTCTCCCACTTCCCTCCCCCCAAAACAGCAGACACTTACACATTGTTATAATCATAAAAAGTATTAAAAAGTAACAAGAAGGAGCTTCTGTTTCGGGGATGGGCGTGGGACAGGTGGGGCCATTGTGAAGTTGATTGCCCATTTTTTGGGATGCTACACTTGTTTACCTCCCGGAGTCCTCGCTGCTCCTGTTCAAGGAGAATCTGTCCGCGGCTTAGGTACAAAATTTGCGCTTACGTTAGCGTGAAATGATGTTCGGGTAATAAAGCGAAGCAATTAAGTTGGTCGTAAGAGGCAGTCGGGTACACTGCAATGTCATATTTTGGTTTAATATAAATAAAAAGAGTTCTTTTGAAAGTTAAACTACTACTTTTTAAAGAAAAAATCAGCTGTAAAAATTTATAAAGGCGTTTGGGTACTTTCTTAAAAAGAACTATTTATGTAGATAAATGAAATAATTTGATTTCGACAATCTAAAGTTACTTTCTTACACTATTCCTTTATTTAATGTTTATATTTTAGCTTGAACAAATTGTTTGCAATCAACATCGCCACTTGCCCCACAGCTCTGGCTGTAGAGCAACACAATCATATTTCACGCTTTGCTTCATCCAAACAGACAACGCAACAAGAGCGTCCAAAAGCGGGCATATAAAATTTTATATCTCTACCATAACGCGAATCCCAGGGACTTACCTGAGAGCCCACCTCCCACCAAAAACCCAAAGTATCCCAGGAATCGCGCCTACATTTTAATGAAATATGTTTAAAGTGCAGCGCCAGCTCGTAAATACAACTTTATATTGATATATGCGCACGTATGCTTATGGGCTATACGATTCGGCCAATCCCCGGACAGCTGCGAGAGT